AAACGTTTGGCATCTGCGTAGACACACATTAAACACTGAGCATTCACACACAAACTGCTTTCACCTGAGTCACTGCCACTCCTTCTAGCTATAAATATGCAATGTCCAAAAAACATGTCAAATGGAGAACAGGTGCCACCTGCATAGTTCAGTAATGCAACACTAGTAGTACTGAAAACATATGAAGTCACAAGAACAAAACACCATGCATTTGTAAATACAATATTTCCATTCATGATTCTGTAGTTTCCACATGCATAAAGCAATAATTTATAAAATCTTAAAGAAATAGGTTTTGGCGGAAGGAGGAGGGTATTCACTGTGACTTGTTTTGGTGACTCATTTCTAATATTCTTCTTTTTATCTTTTCATCACAACGAGAAGAGTGCCCTGACTTTTATTGTGTATTTTCCACTTTGAACTCTGTATAGGCACATCACCCTTCGAGCCAGATTCTGGCAGATCGGACGCTTGCACAAAGGCATTCTCACACTTAGGACAAAGAAGTCACAGATAATGGACTAAACGGCTCATTCTAACTTTTCTTCTTTTATATCGATCACTGAGGTCTCAAGGTTAAAAGTGGCGCTTCACTTAGAAAAACTGTTTTTACTTACTTGTTTTAACTTTAACTTTTATCTTTCTGTGCTGGCTAAAGGCTTAGACTCTCAGAATTACTTTCTCTTTCTTGAGAGGAAGAACTGAAGACAGTGACGTGTTGTTTTAGCCTTGCTTAAATGTGTACACATATACATAGCAGACATAAAGTTAAACATAAATGCACCCTTCTGGAAGTGTAAAGTTAAGAATTGGGCTGTATTATGCAGCTTTTGATTTGCATTAAAAGTCTTTCCAGCACAAGTTAATTAGGTCATGAGATCTTGGTTTGATAGTCACGGCCCTTTGAAATGAGTCACACCTTAAGGAAGGTGTTCATAGAGAAGTCTGATAACTTGCATGATGGGAATAGTATCTGTTGCACTATAATTGCCAGTTAAGAGGAAAAAGATGATCCAAGGTGCCCAGAATTTTTACGTTTCAGTGTGAAATGTAAGGAAGCTTTATATTATTACTACAGGTCTCTTGAATTTCCTTTTTCATGTATGCAAGCCATATATAAAGATTTGTTTGCTCAGCAAATGCCATTTCAGTTCAGTTTTGTTCCTCACACGGCTGCTTGGAACCTGTAGTTTCAAGAATGGGGAGGAGGGAAAATTCCCTCCGGCAGTAAGAGGTGTATAGCTTCAACTTTAAGCCATTTCTTCTTAACCAAAACAAGTTACTGCATGAGCATGGAATGTCCCATATTGAAATTTGCATACAAGTGCTATTAGTGACACAGCCTCTAAAAATTTTAGTTAGTAATTAATTAATTAAGTATCCCACAGTTATTTGGGTGTACACTAAATTCCAAAGGAAAGTTCTGGATAAGTACACTTTCAAGAAACATTGAACTTTGCCACTGGGCCAGCCATGCTGGGGTTTGCATCCATGTGGAGGAAATTCTATTACATAAAAAGAGAAAGAGACACAGAGAGCGATTTTTGCTCCTAAGTGATTCAAATTTAGGCTTTATCATGATTAGTCAGATGGTATCTTTCCTCAGCTTCTTCATCGTCTGATTCTTCATCCCTAGTTTGGGGCGCAGAGGTCAGCAGCAGAGTGTCTGCATGGACTTCTTCATCATCCGACTGGATCACAGGTGTGTCCACGCCACTCGCGCTGCTATCACTGGAAGCAGACGATGTAGACGAAATGCGAGACTGCGAGCTACGAAACGGCTCATTTTGTCGTTTCAGAGATGCACACTCCCTGTAGACAACCTCGGCATCTTCATCGTCTTCATCGTCTTCCTCACCCTCTGCAATTAAAGTCTGTTAGAATATGTTGGTACTTGTCACCATGTTTAAAGTCTGAACAGGGTTTGATCAGGTTCACCCAAAAATGCCCCTTAATGTCATATAAAGCCTTTAACTTTTGACCCAAACTGCCCTGCAGTGTTATTGTTATTCAAGTGAGTTTTGTCCAGAGAACCAAAAATGTCAGTACACCTAAATATTAGAATATATGAATCAAGACAGTATTTCAGCACAGCAGTGTGTCATTGTTTGACAAAATATAAAAACAAAACAAAAACATTTTTGTAACAAAATGTCCTATTTTGAAAACTTTTTTTTTTTATTTTTTATGAAAGAAATGTTAAAAAAAAAAATCATCACCAAATGTACACAGATCTTGAAAGGGCCAGAGTAAGTGGTGTGCTTAAAAATGTCTGCATGGGAAATCTATGTACAAGAATAGCTTTTGAATAGTATAGTGCAGGGGTCTGCAACCTTTAGGACCCAAAGAGCCATTTGGACCCGGTTCCCACGCAAAAGAAAACACTGGGAGCCGCAAATACTTTTTGACATCTAAAATGAAGATAACACTGTATATTTTGTTTTTTACCTTTATGCTTTGTGTGAACAACTAAGGTGTGTTGCTTATGAAATCCGTGAAGTGCTACAGAGAAAATTACATTTTATTTATCTAATTAACACATTTTGAACTCTTAAAGAAATATAACAAAAGGAAAGACACCCAGCTGAGCTAAAA